AAGTGCTATGTCTGAGGATGTAGCACCTCTTAGCATGTGAGGAAGCTCAACTTGAGGCAAGAACAAAATCCTCTTTGAGGCTGGAAAGTGAGTCACTTGGAATAACAACGATGGTCATGGAGGTTGAGTAGATGAATGTTGGATAAATGCTGAAAGGAAGACTGAAAAGTCTTATGAATAGGTCAGACCCAAGAAGGACAGAGGCTGAGAGGTATCAAGGTTGACAACCAGATTCCTCCAGTGAGTGACCAAGTGGATGAAGTCCCATGTTCCTGGGAAGGAGAAGAATTTCTGCCTGCCAAATTTATGTTTCCCAATCATAGAGTTTCCTTTCTACTCATACAGTGATTCATAGATGAATTCAGTATTCATGCATAGACCAAAACAAGTATGTTAACTATATTCTATTGTCTTTATTAAAAAGTCTACCCGTGTACTTTCCTCAAGCACAAGTGTGTGTGTGTGTGTGTGTGTGTGTGTGTGTGTGTGTGTGTGTGTGTTGTTGTTGTTGTTACCAAGTCACAAGGCTTGAACAGCCCAGGTGTTGTCCCTGAGCTTTTTCACTCAAAGCTATCACTCTACCACTTGAGCTAGAGTTCTAGTAAAGCCCTCTTTTTTCTACTCTTAAGAAAGGCACAAGGCTTTTCACGGAATTAGCCTTCCATATGCTGAGTCAGATGACTTTCAAAAGCTACTCACATTTCAGATAAGGGTGAGAAGAAAACCACACAACCCTTTAGGAAATAATGTTATCTACAAAGATATGAGAACCAGATTCATAAGCTAAAGCTGGAAAACAAGTGAGAGAAGGTGCTGGTGGCTCACACCTGCAATGCTGGTTACTCAGCAGGCTGAGAGCTGAGCATCACAGTTTGAAGCCAGCCCAGGCAGGAAAATCCATGAGACTTTTACCTCCAATTAGGCACCAAAAAGCTAGAAGTGGAGCTGTGGCTCAAGTGTTAGAGCACCAGGCTTGAGCAAAAAAGCTAAGGAACCAGTGCCTATGTCCTAAGTTCAAATCCCAGTACTTGCATGCACACACATAAATTAAGCACACATAAGTTAAGCAAGGGAGAAATACTTCAACATTGCAAAGAAAAATGATTCTGAACCTAGAACTCAGTCAGTGACATTTGAAGGCAAAGTAAAGACATTTTCCAACATGAAACAACTCAGAAATTTTCTTTACAAACACAGGAACATTGTGTAAAGAAGTCATCTGAGATGGGGTTTTAACACAACACGGAATGAATTGAAGATGAAGGATAAACAAATATTCCAGAAACACCCTCAGCTGAGCAAGAGACATAGGGTGGAGAGGGAAGCCAATCAAAAAGTAAAAAGCATGGAAAACTTGCTTCTAGAATTCTGGTTATCTAGGATTATCTTTCATTTCTTATGTAATCAATACACTATTTGGTTTTGGGGGATAAGTCATTTTATTTACACAATCATAACATAATATTAATGTTGGTGGTTGGTTTTCTGTGTTTAGAAACGGCCTACAAAAAGTTACAACAAATTTATTTGTTTTGCAGAATGAAACAAAAAAAGTTATGATTCTCATCACCACTGTATTTTGTTAGCAAAAATAATTACAATAGAAGCATGTGAATTTCTTAACTAAAGTCCAGAGTTGGTAAGACAGGTCAGACAAGTTTAAATGAATTAAATTTAAGATGGTTGACTTTGTTTGAATTTTTATCTTTAATTTAAAAATAACATTTCATCTTTAATCTACTTTCTATGCCTGTCCTGGGGCTTAAGTGATTTCCACAGATCTACCTTTTAGTTCCATAATTCTTCCTTTAGCTGTCTGATTTTTCTTTGTTGCAGTGTCTGCATTTTGTAAAGTATTTTGTTATCTTTTTTTTTGGGTCCGGTCGTGGGGGTCTGAACTCTGGACCTGGGCACTGTTCCTCAGCTCTTCAGCTCAAGGCTAGCGCTCTACCACTTGAGCCACAGCGCCACTTCCAGCTTTTTTCTTTTTGCTTATGTGGTGCTGAGGAATCGAACCCAGGGCCTCATGCATGCAAGGCAAGTGCTCTATCACTGAGCCACCTTCCCAGCCCCGTATTTTATTATCTTTAAGTAGTTGTGTTAGAGTATATTAGACTTTGCCAGAAAACCACGAAGACATCCAGGTACAATCAAATGGAAGGTTTATTGCTGGTAAAGGGACCTGCAAGACCCCTTCTCACAAGAGAGGAGTGAGAAGAAGCACCAGCTATTGGTTGAGGTGACCTGTGTAACTACTGAGGTTAGGAGGGGCTGGATGGGACTAGGAGGCAGAGACCCTGGTGTGGAGTTGTGGACGGGAGGACCAGAGCTTCATCATGATGGACTAGGATTTATGATTGCTGCCCAAGTAGTAGACAAGGGGCCTTGCAGTTGTCCAGACCTGAAGGTCACTCTCAGGGGCTCTTGTTGCCTTAGATGGTGGTGGCTGCCCCAGAGGAGTGCCATCCCAAGGTAAAAGGGGGCAGGTGGAGGCTGATTACTGTCTTTACTAAATGGGCCTAGTGTTGCCTAGGAAGGGAGCATGCTAGGTTGTGGAAAGGGGAAGAAGAGTGCTAAGCTATGGGAGGGAGCTCATTGAGCTTACAAGTTGTACAAAGGAGTTTCCCTTTAACAAAGCAGTCTATGAATACACTGCATCTTGAACAATGTTAATAGCTATATTTTTAAAAGATTTTCCTTTTGGGGCTCTTTTACAAACACAACATTTCTTCCTTTTGTTGTACTTATACTGTGGATGGTATTTCCTTTCTCCTTCCCTCCCTCCTCCTCTCTTTTTTTCCTTCCTTCCTTCCTTCCTTCCTTCCATCCTTCCTTCCTTCCTTCCTTCCTTCCTTCCTTCCTTCCTTCCTTCCTTCCTTCCTTCCTTCCTTCCTTCCTTCCTTCCAGATCCCTTCTTCTTGTTACTTGTTTTTAGTTTTTGAGGAGGATCTCACAATGTAGCTGAGGAGGGCCTAGAACTGCTAGTCCTCCTGGCTTCAACTCCCAGGTGCTGACATTAGATTGTGTACCACCATACCCAGTCTACAATTTTCTTCTTCTGAGCTTTGATTGTGTTTTATCATATGAATCCAAGAGACTCATGGCTTCATTATTTGTGTACCTTACCATTTCTTGTGCCAACTGACATTCGCACTAGTGAGTTTCCAAGTACGCTTGACAACACTTGACTTTGGAGTTGGGAACTCATCTCAAGTTACATCGCTTCCATGGGTGCAGGCTAGGGCACCAGACCAGAGTGGCATTCCTCCGTGGGAGTTTCAGGTTTGCCCGGGAATATATGGGTTTTGTGAGTTCTGGAGCAATTTTTACATTAGTGGCAGTGCTTAGGATTTCTTTTTATGTTTTTGTTCGGTTTGTTTTTGTTCAGTTCTTTTGTTTGTTTTTGCCAGTATTGGGCCTAAACTCAGGGCTCTGCCCCTTAGCTTTTTGCTAAAGGCTAGTGCACTTCCATGGAGCCACAGTTTCACTTCTAGCTTATTGCTGTTTAATTGGAGATAGGAGTTTCACGGACTTTTCTGCCTGGGCTGGCTTTGAACCAGTATCCTCAGATCTCAGGCTCCTGAGTAGCTAGGATTATAGGTGTGAGTCATCAGCGCCTGGCTTAAGATTTCTCTATCGAAGAACTAATGTCTATTTTAAAGCCATTTCTTTCATGTCTCTCTCAGCATATACTTTAGAAATAATTGAACAAGCCTCACTGGAGAAATTTCAGAAGCTCTATTGACAACGTATGAGGGATTTGTGACCTTTAAACACATATACACACATAACACTGGTCTCTTTTTTCATTTTATAACTGGGGAAACTGAGGTCCTTTGGAAAAGATCAATGGCTTGTACTGAGACCCAATGAGTTAAAGATAGAGCCACCATTAAAACCTGCATCTCTGTTGTTAAAATAGAATTGGATAATACGAAATGAATCAAATAATTGAATTTGACCTAGATGGTGATGATAATGATTCTAAGGTATTGATGGTGATGACAATTCTAAGCTTTATCAGATTTCTTTTTTTACTGTTCTTAACTGTTGATTCAAAATCCAGATGAAATTTGCTTTCTTGGTGTGTGTGTGTGTGTGTGTGTGTGTGTGTGTGTGTGTGTGTGCGTGTGTGTGTGCACGCATACAACATGCAAACGCGTTTCCCGCCCGCTCCCCACCCCCCATCTTAGAGCTTGAATTCAGGGCCTGAGCATTGTCTTTGAGCTTTGGCTCAAGACTGATGCTCTACCACTTAAGCCACAGCTTCACTTCGGGCTTTTTGGTGGTTACTTGGAGATAAGAGTCTCGCAGACTTTCTAACAGGGATAGCTTTGAACTGCAAACCTCAGCACCTCTCAGTCTCCTGAGTAGCTGGGATTACAGGTGTGAGCCACCAGCTCTTGGCTCAAAAATAGTCTTCTAACCTTGATCCTAACATGGGTGGCATATTATCATGTTTTTTCATGGTTCTTTCATGCCCAATTAAATGAAAGCATTTGTTGTCTTTCTAGGTACTGCTAGTAGAGACACTTCACAGATTTTCCTTGATCAACCATTTACTTTGTCCCCTTGTAAATCATACAGCCTGTGTACAAATACCTAAATTTTCATGTTGACTGTTTTTTTCTTTTTTCTTTCTTTCTTTTCTTTTCTTTTTTTTTTTTTAGTAACTATCAGGACACCTGTTGGGTTCATTATGCACAGACACTTCAAATTTCTACTGGTTTGTTTAACAATAATTAGTCTTTTTTTTTTTTTGCTTCAACTCTCACATATTTACTTTTTTCCCTTTTTTTTAATGGGGGGGAGGGGTAGAGAGGAGGGGTTAAAGGAAACTTTCACAACCTATCCTTGTGAAACTTCCAGGATTTTACCTTTCATGATTTTACAGAACATGTACAAACCAATAGGTGGTTCAAATGAATGTAATTTAAAGAAAATGATGGTTTTATTTTGTATTCTGTTTGCAGAACAGAGTGTTCTGAACATCATCACAAAGAGAAAGGGCCTTAAGCCACAGGTACAGTATATTATTTACACTGAAGGAGCTCTTGTGTGGACAAGAAAGCGCTGACAGGTCAAATGGATCCCATGGAACTGAGAAATGTCAACATCGAACCCGATGATGAGAGTAGCAGTGGAGAAAGTGTTCAGGACAGCTACACGGCAATGGGAAAGTCGGAGAAGGCAGCCATGAGCAGGTATGACGTTAAAAATTACCTTGTCTGATGGATGAACCCAGGCTTCTGGGTATAGAAATCAAAAATCTCATTGGGAAGAGGTGGGTTGGTTTATAAATATATTTGAGATACCAACATTTGTGTTAACACACCAATTTCCTTATCCAGAAGCAGAAGTATAGTAATACTGCCCACCTTTGTGTTGACTGATTTAGAACTGAGGTTATAATATCTGGGTGTCTGTTAATGATGGCGTCGGTATTTTATTTACATTGACGTCTTCTTAGTTTGTTCCTTCTTACTGCACTGGAACTGTTGCTACATCTCCAGGGTTCTTTTCACGCTAAAAGAGTCCACTGACTAAGCTCAGCCATCATCCATGACATGGAACACATGCCACACCCTCCTCTGAGTTTCAGATCAGACAGATAACCGTCCACTGGGTGCTGGTGGCTCTCACCTACAGTTCTAGCTACTCGGGAGGCTGAGAACTGAGGATCAAAGTGTCAAGTCCCCAGGCAGAAAAGTCTATGAGAGCCAGTTCTGAATGAGAAACCTAAGGGACTGCATCCAGGCCCAAATCTCAAGCCTCAGGACTGGCACAATAACAACAAAAAGAAATTGAAAAATAAAAAAACCCCAAAGCTGTCATTCCCTCATAATTCCCATCTTGCTGAAAACACCACTATCTTTTTTTTTTTTTCCTCCTTATGCCAGTCCTAGGGATTGAACTCAGGGCCTGGTCACTGTCCCTGAGCTTTTTCACTCAAGACTAGTTAGTGCTCTACCACTTGGGCCACAGCTCCATTTCCAGCGTTGTGGTGGTTAATTGGAGATAAGAGTCTCATGGACTTTCCTGTTCTGGGCTGGCTTTGAGCTGGCATCCTCAGATCTCAGCCTCCTGAGTAGCTAGAATTACAAGTGTGAGGCACTGACACCTGGCTTCACCAGTGTCTTTAACAACTGAGTCCAAAGTCCCTGAGCTTCAACTTGAACTCATTCCTTCACCCAACCCTTACACCTAATCTATATTCACCTAATCTATATCTGTTATTATCTATATCCAGTTGACTGTTCCTTATTAATGTTTCAAAACCACCTTTTTCTCTTTATCTGTTTTGGCTTACTTCAGACATTCATCCTCTTTTCTACTAGGTCAGTCCTCATTTGTCTGCCTATCTTTTATTTTATTTTCTTCTATCCAGCCCTCCACATATTTTACAAGAGTAGTCTTTTTTTCTTTTTCTCTTTTCTTCCTTCCTTTCTTTCTCTTTCTTTCTTTCCTTCTCTCTCTCTTTCTTCCTTCCTTTCTTCCTTCCTTTCTGTTCTGTCTTTCTTTCTCTCTTGGTACCAATTAGGAGGCTTGAACTTGAGGCCTGAACATTGTTCCTGAACTTTTGTGCTCAAGGCTAGCATCTTAGCACTTGAGCCACAGCTCCACTTCTAGCTTTCTGGTAGTTAATTGGAGATAAGAGAGTCTCACAGACTTTCATTCCTGGGTTGGCTTCGTACTGCGATCCTCAGATCTCAGGCTCCTGAGTATCTAGGATTATAGGTATGAACCACCAGCACCCAGCAACAGTAGTCTTTTATATTTTACAAGTTGAATCATGTCCCCACCATGGGATAAAACCATTGCAAGACTGTGCATTAGTTATGAAATGAATATTTGACTATGCATTGCTTGGCATGCAAGTCCTTTTGTTGACTCTTCCTGGCCTACGTCTCCTGCCCGGTGTCTTTTCCTGCTCCTTTTCTGGAGCCTCTTGCCTTCACTGTTCTGCCCTCTCTGCCTGAAATCACCCATCCCTATTAATACCTCACTCCTCAAGAGTCAATTGAACATCAGATTTCCTATGAAATCTTCTCCAAATGCCCTGCTCCCTAGCCCTCCCCCAGGGAGGTGACCTTCCTTCCTTCCTGTTCAGGTGATAGTCACACCTTAAACACAGGTTAATGGCCTCTTCCCTCCCCTTCCCCCCACCCATTCACACTGCCTAGTGAATAGTAAGTACGTGCAAGCTACTCAAGAAGCTGAGATCTGAGGATCACGGTTCAAAGCCAGCTCTGGTAGGAAAGTCTATGAGACTCTTTGCTCCAATTAACCACCAAAAAGCCAGAAATGGAGCTATGGCTCAAATGGGAGATCATCAGCCTTAAATGAAAAAAACTAAAGGATAGCGTCCAGGCTCTGAGTTCAAGCTAGTCCTGGCATACAACAAAAGGACTTCTCATTTTATTCACATGTCCCAGTAAGTTCTTCAGGTGAAAGTACTATTCTTGCAGGAAGGTGTGCAGTACAGTGGATTTAAGATTAGACTAAGGAGCTCATAGTGGGATAAACCATGGCACTTTCTAAGTGGAGTGGGTTTTTGTTTTTGTTTTTTTTTTTTTGCCAGTCCTAGACCTGGGAACTACCCCCTGAGTTTCTTTTGCTCAAGGCTAGCACTCTACCACTTGAACCACAGCACCACTTCTGACTTTTTTTCTGTTTATGTGGTACTGAGGAATCAAACCCAGGGCTTCATGAATGCTAGATAAGCACTCTACCACTGAGCCACATTCCCAGCCATAAGTGGAGTGATTCTTGAGGATACAGTATAGTAAGTAGCACAGGGCTTGGAGTCTGAAGGGTATTTGTTTAACTTTGGAAAAGATTTATCGCCTCTGAATTTCAGCGGAAGATGGAGAGTGGCCAGCCTCAAGTACTTTTCTCTAATCATTAAAGGAATGCATTGAACTATGGATGATACTTAATACATTTTTGTTCTTTCTGTTCTACATCATCACCCTAAGGAAATGATCCAAATCCTAAGACTTTCTGAGTCTGAAAGAATTGTACACTGTTATGAGCTTTGCAGAGGTTGGCTGAGCTCAATGGAGCATCTTTGCAAGAATAGACTGGGAGTGATTGATACCATTTAGCCTTCAAAAAGTTATAACAGAAAGGGCAATAGTGCTTTGGCTAAACATCATAAAACATCTACTGAACCACTCACACTTCACAACTCCTAGCTCAATCATAAGCCATCATGTAATTTTAGGATCACTTTGTGTGTGTGTGTGTGTGTGTGTGTGTGTGTGTGTGTGTGTGTGTGGTATGTACTGGTACTGGGGCTTGAACTCAGGGCCTAGGCCTTAGCTTTTTTGCTTGAGGCTAGAACTCTACCACTGGGATTATGCCTCTACTTCTGTCTTTTGCTGGTTAATTGGAATTAAGAATCTCACAGCTGCTGGAGCTGACTTTGAACTGTAGTCCTCAGGTCTCAGTCTCTTGAGTAGGTAGGTTTACAGGCATAAGCCACCAGCACCCAGCTAGAATCACTTTTAAAAGATGGGTTTTATTTATGTTGGATTTAGATGGAACTTTCAAATGTAATTTTTGGGGAAATTCCACATACTGTATTGATTTAGGATCATTTCACTTATGTTTTCAATACATACTCCGTTTTGGTATCAAAACATATGACACACTAGGGACATTTCTCCATACATTTTGTACAATCTTGGCATGCTTTAGGGCTACAACTCATCTTTGACAAAATAAGAACATGTAAAAAAAGAAAATTGAGTTTCTTTCTCACACATACACACACCACATTAAAACAGGGTTTCAATTCAATATGTCAGTTTATGCTTACAATACATCTTGTTTTCAAATTCTAATGTTTTAATGATGCATGGAACAGAGATTTTAATTTCTCAATTAAAGTAAAAAAAATAGTGTCAGACATTCCTTTGTTTCAATTTTTCTTTTAAGTGATATTGCTTTTGTAGTCTTTAGTCTCATTTTATTTTCTTATCTCAGAGTCTTGCTAAAAGAAATGTGAGTCAGTCCTTGTACAGCAAGTAGAGTTTAACCACAGACTATTGCAATAAATCACACACACACACAATTATAAAAAAAGGTGTCTGAGAGAGTGTGCAAATGGAAGAAGACAACAATGGAGGGTATGATATTTTTCTACAAGGAGTAAAGGAGAATGTCAGGGAATACTGTTAACTTGCATGCTTGGAGCTAGTTACTCCTGAGTTCTGTATTCTTCTGTCCACACCTGGTATTGCTCACCATTCTTTTTTTTTTTTCTCTGCTGTTTCTGGGGCTTGAACTCAGGGACTGATTTTGTCCCTGAACAATTTTGCTCAAGGCTAGCTTTCTACCATTCGAGCCACACTGTCACTTCCAGTTTTTGAGTGGTTAATTGGAGATAAGAGTTTCACAGGGACTTTTCTGCCCTAGCTGACTTCAAACCGAGATCTTCAGATCTCAGCCTCCTGAGTAGCTAGGATTACAGGCGTGAGCCACCGGTACCAGCTACTTCCCACTTTTTTTTGTAGTTTAGTAGAGATAATAGACTCACAGACTTTCTTGCTTGCGCTGGGTTTGAACTGTGATCCTCAGATCTCACACCATTCTCACTTTCTTATCAGATTAATTTTCAGGATTAACTCCCCTATAATATTTACAGATCTCGTATCATAATCACTTTCTAATCTATTTCTAGGAGAAAACTTTCTTCAGTTATTCTGTGGTGTGTGTGTGTGTGTGTGTGTGTGTGCGCGCGCGTGCGCGCGCATGTGCGTTTGTGCGTGCACAATGGGACTAGGTTGTGAACTCAGAACCTTTGGCTCTTCCTTGGCTTTTTTGATCAAGGCTGATGTTCTGCCACTTGACCCACAGCACTTTTAGCTTTTGTGCTGGTTAATTGGGTAAAAGACTCAGGTTTGTCTGCCCAGGTTGACTTTGAACCACGATCCTCAGAGCTCAGCCTCCTGAGTGTCTAAGATTACAGGCATGAACCACTGTGTTCAATTTCTTTTATCTTGTCATTTAATGCAAGAAATGCCTTTAAAGTTGCAACTATCTATTTGGTGCCAGTAGCTCACACTTGTAATCCTAGCTACTCAGGAGGCTGGGATCTGAGTATCATGGTTCAAAGCCAGCCAGGCAGGAAAGTCCATGAGACTCTTATTTCCAGTTAACCACCAAAAAATCAGAAATGGAGCTGTGCCTCAATTGGAAGAGCACTAGCCTTTGAGCATAAAAGCTCAGGGATGGTGACCAGGCTTTGAGTTCAAAAAGCCCTAGGACCAGCAAGTAAAAACAAAAACAAAACCAACAGCTTACACCTAACTTATAAGGAACCATTTTTCAGAAGTAACCAGAGTTGAGCATTTTAAGTAACAGCAATGAGAAAAGCCTGTGTGGTAATTTGGTGGGTAAACAAGCCATCGTAGCAGCTGGCTTCATTAGTGAAGCTTTTTGGAAATATGGCTGGCCTCTAGTCCGTTGCTTCAAAGCTCAGGCAGAGATGCTGCAGCAGCTGAGCAGCCATGAGAATTAATGTGTGCCGTTTCCAACTGTGCTCACGCAGACCAGAAACACAATGTGCTGCACACAGCACTGTGGCTGAGTCCTATTACCCTTTCCACTCCTCCTCCAATTGGTTAGATTTCTTTAACAATTTTCATGTCATCTATGATCTAATAATAATCCAGGTGCGTTTTCAGAGCAATCAAAACACACACATATACACACACACTCAGAACACAGAGCTACTATTTTCTGATAAGCAATATATGCATGCACATGCTCTAAAATAAGGAATACCTACTATTGGAAAAGGTCCTAGAGTTGGAGTCTGGCAGGTGAATATGGGCTCCTTCATTTTTTAGAGTCCTAGTTGCTTCATCTGATGAATAGGACTGTCCGCGTTCTTCTCAGGGATATTTTGGGCATCCAATGAGTTGAAGATCCCAATATCTAAGCATTTAACACATCTTTATTAAGCTAACAAATTCAAAGCTGGTACCAGTGGCTCACACCTGTAATCCTTATCAGGAGGCTGAGGTCTGAGGATCATGGCTCAAATCCAGCCTGGGCAGAAAAGTACAGGAGAAGCTTATCACAATGAACCACAGAAAGCCAGAAGTGGAGCTGTGGCTTAGTGCCAGTCTTGAGTGAAAAAGCTAAGGGACAGCACCCAGGCGACAGGCCCAGAGAGTGACTTATATAGAGTCCACTTTGCATTCATTTAGGACCTGGGTTTAATCTTCAGTGCCATAAGAATAAACAAATAAATAAAAATAATGTATTAATAAATGGGGTGCTACTTAGGAGGCTGAAGTCTGACAGCCCTGGCAGGAAAATCCATGAACACATGAACATTGATCTCTAATTAGCCACTAAAAAGTTGGGAATAGGAGGTCAGGCTTAAAGCCCTGGTTTCAAGTCCTGTTACTGGCACATGCACTCTCTCTCACACACACACAATAATAATAATAATAACTTAATCACCTGGTTGATATGGTAGTAGTTTAGAAAACTTAAAGAGCAATCATTTTGTATCTGTTTTCTGGAATCTTCTAAGTGAGAACAAGATTAGGTCCCATTAATCTTTAGATAAAATAATAAATACAGCATAAATTATTTTGCAGTTAAACTATTTCCTTTGTAACTCATCTTTTCTTCCTTTCCAACATCTACTCACAAATGAGGTTCAGTTTGAGGACCGGAAAGGAACATTGGTATGAAAAAGAAAAATGGAAGTAGCTTTCCCTCCCTGCCCTTAGTTTTTGTTCTCCTAGTTCAAAGCCTTAGATCGCCTGACATGTCAATATAACTGAGGGTATTTATTTTGATGTGTTTGCTTTCCTGTTTTCCTTGTATGTATATGTGGGTGTTTAGTCAATTTACTAATGAAGATACAGAAAGCCAGAAGTTCCTGACAAATGGATTTTTGGGGAAAAAGAAGCTGGCCGATTACGATGATGAGCATGTAAGTGGAATCTCTTTGTTGAAGCAAGAACAGGTCTGAGGGTGTCTCATCTGCCTCAATCTCTGTGGCAAAACAATGTGAATGAAATTTTCCAGGCCTTGATCAGCACATTCTCTGTTTATTCAGGCCCTTACTGGAATAAGGGCTTGTTTTTCCTGTTCGCCATATGGCTGCATAAATCATTTATGAAATTTATTTATTTTTGAGAAGTCATTCAAACCCAAATACAATCTGCAATCATACTTGTTTTTTCCCTTCTTTTTATACCACACACACACACATACACACACACACACACACGTTAATTTTTACTTGCTGAAAGCAAGCACTATATCTCAATGAAAAATGACATACTTTTCTTAAAGTCGTGGCTTTATTTTACCTTAGTCTTTTAAAATATATATATATTAAAGTATATATGTATTCTTTTTATTGTACAGAGGGGTTATAGTTACATGACAAAGTAATGAGTCCATTTCCTGTCGAGCATTGTTACCCCCTACTTTGTTTTTCCCCTGCCATCCCTTTCCTCCCCACCTCCCCAACTTCTCCACCACCACCACCACCACCACTACCACCACCACCACCACCACCACCACCACCACCACCAACCCCCTGCAAAGTTGTAAAGTTCATTTTCAACATAGTGTCTTGTACATCTCATTGTTACAATGGGTCATCCTGTATCCTTATTTCAGCATTTTGTTATTTCCCTTCCCCTCCCCAAATTAGAAAAAAATATATATACAAGATACAGAACACCGAAATCAAATACAGTTCTTCCCCCATGTTATCTTAGTCTTTTTTTTTTCTTTGGGTCCGGTCGTGGGGCCTTAACTCTGGGCCTGGGTGCTGTCCCTCAGCTCTTCAGCTCAAGGCTAGCACTCTACCACTTGAGCCACAGCACCACTTCTGGCTTTTTTTTTTTAATGCTTATGTGGTGGTGAGGAATCAAACCCAGGGCCTCAAGCATGTAAGGCAAGCACTCTACCACTGAGCCACCTTCCCAGTCCATATTACCTTAGTCTTTAGATTTTAATCTCCTCCAGGAAAGACAATGTGAGTATAAGAACAATCCAGAAAGAGCTGGGCTGCTGGTGGCTCATACCTGCAGTACTTGATACTCAGGAAGCTGAGATCTGAAGATCTCAACTTCAAAGCCAGCCCAGGAAGACAGATCTATGAGACTCTTATCTCCAGTTGGTTAATCAAAAAGTCGGAAATGGAGCTGTGGCTCCAGTGGTAGAGCAGCAGCCTTTGAGTAAGTGAAAAAACTAAGGGACAGTGCTTAGGTCCTGAGTTCAAGCCCCAGTACTGGATTGACACTCACAACAATAAGCAGAAGAATAAAAAGAATAATACAAAACCAGATTGATCCCATAACAAGTATTTGCTTATAAAGTGCCCCCCTTTTCTTCTAGCATCCTGGAACCACTTCCTTTGGAATGTCTTCATTCAACCTGAGTAACGCCATTATGGGCAGTGGTATTTTGGGCTTGTCCTATGCCATGGCCAACACAGGCATCATCCTTTTTATGTAAGTGAACCTACGTGTCTATATTCATTGACAAAGTCCTTGCCAGAACCTGGTACTGTTCCAATGAACAATCTGAAGTGTGATCTTTATGGAGAAACTAAGAATTAGAGGAAATATTGGCAAGTACTTCTTGCTTTTAGATACAACTTCCAACCTGAGGAATCATGGTACTTGCTCATCTATCTAGCTCTAGGCAAAAACTAGAAAGTCTATGTGTTCAACCATCCCAAGTGCTAGCTGGAGCAGTTCCTCTCTTCTACAGAAAGAAGCTAATTTACAACGCACCTCATTGCTAAATAAATGCTTACAATAAGTCAATATTAGCTGGGTGCTGGTGGCTCATGCCTATAATGCTAACGACTCGGGATGCTGAGATTTGAGGACTATGGTTCAAAGCTTAGCCTAGGCAGGAAACTCTGTGAGACTCTTATATCTAATCAAGTACCAAAAAGCCAGCTTTAAGCTGTGGCTCAAGTGGTAGAGCACCAGCCTTGAGCAAAAAAAACTTAGCAAAAAATCAGTGCCCAGGCCCTCGGTTCAAGCACCAAGACCAGCACACACACACACACACACACACACACACACATAATAATAATAAAGTTAGTGTTTCATAGTCAGGAAGATCTTTTCTGGAGTCTAATCTGAAAAGCAACCCTCCTCACAGAAGGGGCAAGGATAGAAATGGAGGGAGAAGGGGAGACAAATGCAGTCATAATATTCCATGTACGTATGTGAAAATGGAAGTAGGAAAATTGAGGATTGGGATGGGGCTGGGAGACTTGGAGGAGAACAATGAAGTTGTAACACTGATGTATTATACTCTTATGACTTGTTCCATTGAAGCCCCATTATAGAACTACTTAAAATTTTCAAAAAATTGTAAAAAAGGAAAATGCATGCCAAAAAACACACTGGACATTGAGTCCAGCGTGCCCTGATCTTGTTCCCTGAGCACAAGACCTACAGCCACACTGGCATCCCTCATCCCATAAAGATGCCACGTTTCCACTCACCCCTGAGCCTTTGCACATGGTCTTGGACCCTTTTCTTTCTCCTTTGTTAGCTCTCTTCCGGTGACCTCTATGACTGGTGCATATCTATTGTCCACCCAGTCACTGAAGTTTCAACATCCTGAGTGTCTTCATCTGCATCATTTGGATAAACCAGGCACTCAAGAGACTTGAACCTACATGCCATGCTATGCCTCATCTCTAACACCTGTCACAGAGCCCGTCACAGGGAATATTTCCTGTGAGACTGAACATTATTGCTCAGCCTGTGTATCTTCACCAGACTTGGTCAGTCAAACGCTGCAGAAGACCAGCTCCCAGGGGACCCTCAAAGTAGAGACCACTTAGGCCTGGGCCACAGTGACATCCGCAGGTCTGGGTGTGTGTTACACATGGCACGTGAGCCACAGCTGGCCACTGCGGAATTCTTCTCAAGAATGACATCTAATGCAATGCTAGAGAGTTAGACAACCGTCTAAGAATGCAACGTTCATATTACACATAGATCCTATTTGGGTTCTGAATGCCACATGTGATTAGCTAATCACACAGTGATCTGAAGGATAAGGGTCAGGACTATAAATATTTATCTAGTTTTAGTGCCTTGATTGAAGTCTTGGCAGCATAATACTGTATGTGTGTGTGTGTGTGTGTGTGTGTGTGTGTGTGTGTGTGTGTGTCCCTTAGATTTTTTTTTTTTTTTTTTTTTGCTCAAGGCTACCACTTGAGCCACAACTCCAGTTCTGGTATTTTGGTGGTTCATTGGAGACAAGCCTCTCAAGAACTTGCCTGACAAGGCTGACTTAGAACTGTGATCCTTAGATCTCAACCTGTGTCCAGCAGTGAATGGGTTTTTATATCAACTTAATTGTTATGGACCATATTTAAATAAACTAGTTTTTTTAATTATCAGAGTTTTATGCTAGAAATGTATTTATATATTTGCATGCCTTCATAATGTGCATTACCTCTGAGACACAAAGACTGTCTTCTCCTTAATTAATTATGCATACCATTACAATTAATTAGCAAGCTATCATAGATCACTGATGAATAGAAATGAGAAACACTTTTCCTAACCCTAGGGCATAGATCATTTTCATGGCAAGAGAATATTCCATTTTTAAAACAAGGGTCTCATTTCAGGCCTGTAAACATTTAGCAGATTAATTTAGCTGGAGCAATTAAATCACTAAACACACTAGGATGGTCTTTGTATGAGTAAGTAGCTAAGGATGGGGCTCAGCCGCCCCCTTTACTTCATAGAAAATGATGCTGTGTTTATTGCTTTCAATCCTAGGATTTTATCCCCAAACAAGTATATGTTTAGAATAGAGGGAATGCTTATTGCATTTCTACAGAACAAAATCATGCAATCAGAGTTACATAATTTCATAAAGATATGGAAAAATATATATTAGACATGTATGATCAGGACTAGATGATCAGACAATTTGGGCAGGCATATTTTTTGGATGAGAAGAATGTAATATAGCTAGAGTAGTTATAAAATGCACCATTCACGGTCTAAATGTACATTTACAGCATTGTACCAGAGAGTTATCTAAATATGGGGGAATGTCATCATGAAAAATGAGCAAAGGAAGGAAATATATACATGTATACATTTTTTAAACTTCAGGCAAAGGCAGTAATGTCACTTCATTTATTATATAGATGCTTTTAATCACACTTTTTAATTGGTGTGCTGTTTCTTTTTTGAGACACTAGGTTGCCTAACTCATGATCCTCCTGTTTCAGCATCCCAAATGGTGGGATTACAGGCATGTGTCATCATGCCCACTTCTATCCACTCTAGCCACATTTAGTTTTGGGCTCTAAATATTATTCTGTATAAATGTTGATCGGTATCAACATAAAGGGGATATATAGAGGACCCTGATAACCTAAGTGATTCATTCTGAACACAAAAAAGTAAAAATAAAAAAGGAATACTTCTACTTACCTTTCCCTGCCATCTCTATTATGCATACAGTTGTCTGACCCTATGGTTGACAAATGTCTTCTCTAATGGACAGGATCAGTCACAGCTCAGGCTGTCTGATTTGCTTTCTAGATTTTAAATTAAGTTTTCATTAGTCAGTTTCTTGAGTGATGCTTCAATTTAACGTGTTGATGTAGATATTATATATATATATATATACATATATATATATATATGTATATATATATATATATATATATACATACATACACTTGTATCCAGAGTCATTCGATGTGGTGTCTCCTTCGTTTGTTGTAGACCTAGTATCTAAGTAATGAAATCGAGTCTGCAACTGTGTAACTTTAACATAACTATAGACTAGGAACTTCAGGTAGTAGGCTTGGAACTATAAAATACCGAAAATTCTCTGTTGAGTTCCATTAAAGAATACATCTGATGAGCTTGGAGCCAGTAGCTTACGATTATCATCCTAGCCACTCAGGAGGCTGAAATCTGAGGATCAAAGTATGAAGTCAGTCCCGGCAGGAAGGTCTATGGAAACTCTTCAATTCATTGTAAAGGTGATGTACATAGGGGTTACAGTTACATGATTCAGGTAATGAGTACATTTCCTTTTGAACAGTGTCACCCCTTCCCTCATTCTCTCCTAGTTCTTCCCCTCCCAACTTCCCTCTTCCCAAAAGTTGTATAGTTCATTTCCAACATAGTATCTAGTGGGGTACACTGCTGAATTGGCTCATCCTTTCTGTGTTCCCTGTTTCCCTCCCCAAATCAGATAAACTTATAGTAAGCGAAGTAAGCCAGACCCAAAGAAACATAGGCTGCATGGTTCCTCTCATTGGTAGTAACTAGAATGTGCCTAGAAATCTACAAGTAAACCCAATGGACAGTAAAAGACGAATAATTACACCTGGACGTGATTAATTAAACAGCAAATCTAAACATCCACACAGTGAGAACAAAGGAGGATATTCTTAGAAGAGGATCACAAGGGCTCCATAGCTATGTGCATAAGATCATTTAAAATGATGCCTATCAAAATGAACTCCAAGAAATGGAAGTAAGAGGTTTCTCATTATACTGTTTCTAGTTCTTCTTTCCTTTTTTTCCTCTGGTTTATTCCTTTCTGCTGCTGTTTCTTATTTCTGTACCCTTTGTCTCATATATAAGTTCATCCATGAGACTCTTACATCCAGTTAACTACCAAAAAGCTAGAAGTAGAGCTGTGGGTCAAATGGTTGAGCGCCAGACTTGAGTGAAAAGGCTAAAGGCAATAGCAAGGCCCTGAGTTCAAATCGTACAACCAGAAAAAAAAATGTGTATCATTCTGAAAAGGCTTTCCCAGCACTTTTTATATCCAGATCCTTTTGGAAAGTCAATAATTGAGAAGGCAGATCCTTTATTGTAATGACGAATAACACTCTGTCTTATTTGTTATAGAAACCTTATTTTCTATTCTCTATTTGTTTACAGAATCTTGCTGCTTGCAGTGGCAATATTATCACTGTATTCAGTTCATCTTTTACTAAAGACAGCCAAGGAAGGAGGTATGCGACCCCTTAAGCCTATATCTTAGAATATTAGAAAGCCTTTCAATTTTTTTCTAAAGTCTTACTATTTGTTTATTTATATAACTTTTTTTTTTAACATTATCTTTAGGTAGTTGTATAAAGGGGTTTCAACTCAACATGCTGGTTCATGAGAATAATGCAGCTTGATGAATGTCACCCTTTCTATCACTCTCCCCCATTTTCCCTAGCCTTACCTATCCCCTCAAGTTGTGAGACTTTCAGCCTATGTTGTTTCGTGATCATTTTAGTCCATTTCACACTTTTTTTAATCCCCCAAGATTTTTGAGTTATTTTGACAAGTGAAAGACAAGGGTAGGAGTTGACTGGCTCAGGTTCAAGCCAAATAGAAGAATATAAACAAATAAATAAAAGAGGGAGAAAAAAATGGTAGATGCTAGAAATAACTGTTCTGCTTCTGTAGGTACAACTAACTCTAAATGAAGCCTTTTGTACGGAGAACAATTTAATGCATTGAGTATTGGTTTTTGAAGTGGTGTCTTTTGGGTTTATAATTTCTCTTTGTCTATATGTTTGAGACCTCAGTATAGAATTATAGTAGAGAAATATGTTAGTCATTGAAACTATCCTCTAACAAGGTAATTTTCTCTTTCATTGTAGGGTCTTTAATTTATGAGAAATTAGGTGAAAAGGCATTTGGATGGCCTGGTAAAATCGGAGCCTTTACCTCCATTACCATGCAGAATATTGGAGGTAAGGGGACATAGTTTTCAGGGGAACTTTCTTGAATATTCAACACGTAAGTCTTATGGCAACAAAGAAGCACTTGGGATACAGAAAAGCAGCTGCTTTATTGTTCTTAAGTTTCAGAAAACAAAATTTCTTCATAGATTTGCTGTTGGATTTTAATTAAAAGCAGCAATATCTGGAATTCTATCATATATAAAATCCCACTAATTTTTGATTGTGTGTGTGTGTGTGTGTGTGTGTGTGTGTGTGTGTGTGTGTGTGTGTGTGTGTGTGTGTGTTGGTCCTGGGGCTTGAATTCAAGACATAAGTGCTGTCTCTAAGCTTTATTTTGCTCAAGACTAATGCTCTACCACTTGAGCCACACCTCCACTTCTGGCTTTGTTGTTGTTGTTGTTGCTGGTAGTTAGTTGGAGATAAGAGTCTCATGGGTTTTTCTGCCCTGGTTGGCTTTGAACCTCAGTCCTCAGATCTCAGCTGAGTAGCTAGGATTAAAGAAGTGAGCCACCAACACCTGGCTCTTTGTTGCTTTCTAATGCTGTTCTGGAATTGACGATTGCTTTTAGAAATTAAAACACTAGTGCTCATTTCTATCACTGTCAGACCTATGGGCATCTCGTATGCATGACTGAGGTCACATTGTAGGATTAGAGGGTGCTGGGGTAGGACGTGCAGATGCACAAATGTGTGCATCAAGTAAAGACCAGAAAAAGTTTCTAGACGTTTAGCAAGGAAACATGAGGATCACAGTGACCTCAGGTTCTTTGGTTTCACAGATCCTTGTAATTCCTACTGAATTATAATTTCCAGGGGAGAGCCTAGAAATGTACTTTCTCCCCCTCAGTACCAGGAGTTTTGAACTCAGGAGTTCACACTTGTACTGCTGGAGTTCTACCACTTGAATGACAGCTCCGGCTCTGCTTTCTTTGTTCTGATGAATTAGATAGAGAGTCTTAGGGACTTTTCTGCCTGGGCTAGCTTTGAACCTCCATCCTTTGGATCTCAGCTTTCTTAATAGCTTAGGATTATAGATGTTTTTTAGCAAGGTTCTAGTCTCACACTGGGTCTGTTGTGTCTTGGTGCTCAGGAGGTATCCAGAACCTCATTTCATTCAAGTCTCCTGCTAGATGTTGCTTCTTCCTGTGCCATCTTTATTGCTACATCATAGTACTTCTTTCCTCCCCTTCTATCCAGGCCTCCAGCCGCTGTTCTAAGCCTGGGACCTATGACTTTCACCAGCAGCCAGCATATTTTAAAGTAGAGAATCTGCTGTCAATCTAAATTTCTCCCTCTCTCCCTAACCCCACGCATCCAATGAAATACCCAATTCCATCCAGCCTACCTCTTATGTGTCTCTTGAATCTCTGTTCACCTTCCTCTTCAGGGCCACAGACCAGGTGATCACCATTCCAGCCCCGACTCTTTCTGCAGTTTCTGACCAATCACTCACTCTGCCCTGAGAGTCCTCTGCTATTGTTCTCTAACTCTTCCTCCACACAAATTTTCTCAGATTCAGGTCTATTCCTGCTTCTCCTACTGAAATTTTTTTTTTCAGTATGTCTTGTTATTTTCAAGGTAAATTCAGTGGTCTGAAAGTAGGATCCATCATATTCCCCTACTTAGCTTTCTAAATATTTTCTACCAACTCCATATCTGTCTGTCTGTCTTCTGTCTTCCATATCTGCCCATTTATTCAAACATTTATCAATCTTTTATGTTCCATATCTCTCCCACCATCCATCCATCCATTTATCTATCTCCTATTTTCCATTGTAGAAATAGTTTAAGCCAAAATAGTGATCACCTGACCTATGGTCCATCCATGCATCCTCTATATTTATCGTCTATCTCTATTAGCAGTCTTTCATAGCTCTTATCTATCTATCTATCTCTATTTACCTACCTACCTATTTTATTTATATAATCTGTCTTCTATCTTCTATTTCTGTCCTCCATCCATTTATCTATCTTTCATATACATTCATCTATCCATCCCATTTATTTATTTGTCTTGTATTTATTTTCTGTATCTGTTCATCCATCTGCCTTCTATCTTCCATATCTGTCCATCCATCCATTTATCTATCTTCTATTTTCCACATGTGTCTATCCATCCATCTTCTCTCCCATGTCCACCTATCTTCCATATCTGTTCATCCATCCATCCATCCATCCATCCATCCATCCATCCATCCATCCATCCATCCATTTATCTATCTTCTGTCTTCTATAAACTGTCCATCCATCTTCTATTTTCTCTATCTATCTATCTATCTATCTTCTATCTTTTTGGTAATATTTCATATCTAGGTATCCATCATCTATCCCATATATATTCTGTGTCAAACCATAGCAATTGTATTTTACCTTCTAATAGTATTAGTATTAACTATTTTTAAAAATCCCCCATGCCTTCTTTACATATAGCATTTTCCCTTTTGTTACTGTGTCTTGAAGGCCTCTAACTCTAGCATACATTCAGTCTGTGTGTCTCTCTTCCCCATCTCCCTCTCCATTTTTTCTCTTCATCTCTCCTCCTGGTCCATTGTTTTTCTTGGCTGTCAGTGGGATTCCTCTGGGCTGTCTTGGTTTGTGTGAATGTATGTTCATGGATTTTGTTTTGTTTTGTTTTTTAAAAAAAGGTATTTTGAAATCTCTAAGTAGAGGATAAGCTTTTGGAGTTTTTTGCACCTGAATGTGAGTCTGTTTCTATCACTGTCAGTGGCCTTGGGGAAATCATTTTACGGCTTTGAGTTAACTTTTTCCTTGAGTGAAAATGAGAGTGATCTTCTGACGTCCCCAGGTCATTGTGAGGATGAAGAAGGGTAACACATGGGCCACGACAAGGGCTCTGAACTGCTTCCCACTTGCAGACTTCTCGACATGTCTCTCTCTGGAGGCCCTCTGATGCCTTTTAAATACGTGTTTTCATAATTATGAAACAAATATACACTCGTTGTAAATAACGGAAACATTAAATGACTCTATCCTGAGTCACCCTCAAAAATAATTGCTTCACATTTTCCTCTGTGACAAGTTTAATAATTATATTATCACTGTTAGAATTTAATCACCTGATGATAACTGACTTGTAGATGCTTTTTAATTTTACCATGTGTCTTAGATGTATATTGTTTTTAATGGCTTTTGAACTTTTCCTTTATTCATATGTACTGTAATTGGCTACCAAATCCTTATTGGTGAATAGTTGAACTGCTTCCAGTTTTTCACTATTATAAGGAATGCTGTACTAAGCTTATACAAAAGCTTTGCAAAAAAAAAAAAAGGCAACTCCTAAGATCACTAAACTTTGTGGCATTACCTAAGATTTCTAACATGCAATTCCATATATATAAAATTTTTGGCTGGTTGTAGCGTTTGAACTCAGGGCCTGGGCAGTGTCCCTGAGCTCTTTTGCTCAAGGTTAATGCTCTACCACTTTGAGCCATAGCTCCAGTTCCAGTTTTTGAGTGGTTAATTAGAGACAAGAGTCTCATGGGGACTTTTAGGCCTGGCTGGCTTTGAACCATGGTCCTTAAATCTCAGCCTCCTGCGTAGCAAGGATTATAGGCGTGAGCCACCAACACTTGGTTCCTTTAATATGTTTTTATCCAACTATGACCTGCCCTAATAATGGGTAGTTGGTAAGCAAGAAAATAAAACCTAGCTCTTTTTTGTTGCTAGGACTTAAACCCAGGGCCTCGCACTTGCTAATATTAATTTCTCTTCATATTTTTATACATTAGTGACATAATCCTTGATAGAAATTGGCCCTAACACCAGGATTATCTCATTCATTCTACTGGGTGTGGATCCTAAGCATCTGAGAACCCCGGAGTCCCACCAAAGAGGCTGCTTTATATTTGGTTCAATTTCTAGCCCTATCAAATCTAAAATCTTGATCATTTCATAAAATCAATTCATGGTTGATCTAATTTACTTGTTTTTGACAGCTGGAATAAATAGCTATAAGTATGGTTAGCCTTGAACTCATCAAGCAAAGTGACAGCTATACCCAATGTTCAAAGCATGGCTACTGTTATGCTTCTAATCCTGGAATAAACTATAATGTAGGCTCTGCATCCAACCACACCCAAGAAGTGGTTTCTAAGGAGGTGAAATAGAGTTTCATAACGCCATCCCAGAAAATCCTTCCTTTTTTTTTTTTTTTTATGGGATTCATTGGACATGTAGCTGAAGAAAGCCTCTTGTCTTTCTTGAATTAGTCACTCCATTTTTAGAACTCTTGATTTCCTAATCCCCTAAAAAATAAACAAAATCAACTTAATATTCACCACGGATGTTTGAATGTTAGCAGAATAATGCTGACATTACCCAAACAGGTTTGGGTTCATACTGAATTTTCAAAGGCCAAACAAATTAACAGTGGTGACATCACTGAAAGTTGGCAGTTTGTAATTCTGAAATGGAGTGGTGCCTCACAGAGCTAGTGAGTCAGAAATATCTCCTGGTTACGCTCTGTAAGAGTCTGCCTTCGGCAAGGTCTTGTAAACATTAACCAAATCCCAAGGATGGAAGATACATCAACTGTCACAGGAATCATTTCACTTGGCTGATAGATAAGTAGCATCAGCTCATACGTTAGGAGACATCTGTAGATGTGATTCACTCTTTCCACACTGTGTGATCTTGGCCATGTAATTTAATTTCACAAAATCACACCTCCCACATCATCAGACTTTTTAGATAATCAGGTGTGGAGCTGTATGAAGTGGGGAACTATTACCACCGTTATTTCTTTTGTTTGATGTTAAGGAACTGCTTTTGAACTATTAATAGTCCAGTTTACAACTTAGATAGGTATGGTTTGGTTTTTTTTTTTAATATTTATTTACTTAGTATGTTTATCACTTTTGTCCTAGAACTGGGGCTTGAACTCAGGGCCTGGGTGTTTTTTCTTAGTTGATGTGCTACCATTTGATCAACAGCTCCACTTCTGGCTTTTTGTTGCTTCCTTGAGATAGCAGTTCACTGATGTTCCTGCCTAGGCTGGCTTTGAACCATGATCTACAGACCTGAAGCCACCAGTGCCCACTTGTAAATGCCTATTAGCAAAACTTCAGCATAAAGATGGAGTCCATATTTAAAGCTTCCTTATCAAATTTGTCAGTTTTATTTTTATTCAAGTGTCCCAATCATGTGTCAGATAACCAATCAGTGTTACACTTCACTGAGTGGATGGACTTGGGGAAAGGAATGTTAGATACATCCCTACAACTATAGAAAAACTGTAATGTTATGCATATTTGAACACATTCACTTTTCCAAGGTGGGTATTTAGAGGGTATTCATCTTTTTCAATAGTACCAATCATTTATCAGTCACCCGTCAAGATGCTCATTGAAGATTTGCCATTTTGGGTACTTTCTTATTTGACCAACAGATGACTAGAATATTGAGGAATAACATCAAATCCCTTAATTAATGAAGAAGAACAGAAGCTATCATCTCTTGTATTCTTTGATCAGTCCAGACAGCTACCAGTTTCAATTATCAGGAGTCTAAGACTTGCTTGGTGTGCCCCACAGAGAGATCACAGAAAACCTGACCAGAAGCCTACCTGGGAAAGGCCAGAGTGGCCCAGAGCACATGCAGGTCACCCTGCAATTCCTCCCTTTTTCTGTGGCCCATGACTTTTGTTGTCAGACTCTTGTCCCTAGACACTAAAACAAGCACATTCAATACAGGCCACGATGATCAATCACTAATGAGGGTAAAGGCTCAAAACCTGCAGCTTCCCTTGGAAACCCACAAATTGGATTTAACACAAAATCAACATAGATATGGTTAGCAACAGTCCACGTGTACAAATGAGGAGGCCAACGGAGCACCAGTGGCTCACACCTGTAATCCTAGCTGCTCAGGAGACTGAGAGCTGAGGATCATACTTCTAAGCCAGCCCAGACAGGAAAGTCTTTGAGACTCTTCTTTCTGATTAACCACTGAAAAGCCAGAAGTGGAGCTGTGGCTCAAATGGTAGAGTTTGGAGTGAAAAAGCTAAGGGACAATGCCCAGGCACTAAAGTTCAGACCCTAGTGCTAGCACATGCATACACACACACACACACACACACACACACACACACAGAATGATACATCCAAATGTTTACTTTTGAGAAAAGGCTTAGAAGCATTGTAAAATACACATTAGCTTCTCACTGTGTGGGGGGATTAGATGCTCATCTTAGACCAAGAAGAACAGATTATCCCAAATGTCTTCACAACAGTCAATACACACCACTAAGCTGTCACGTTTTCCATTTTAGCAATGTCCAGCTACCTCTTTATCATTAAATACGAACTTCCTGAAGTTATCAGAGCATTCATGGGACTTGAAGAAAATACTGGGTATGTCTCACGTTTCCTCCGTGGCATCCAGTAGCTCCTTGTCTTTCCCCTTTTCCAGTCCTGACATCCTTGTCACTGTTTCTCTCATAGGGAATGGTACCTCAACGGCAACTACCTCATCATATTTGTGTCTGTGGGAATTATTCTGCCACTCTCTCTTCTGAAAAATCTAGGTAAATCCCTTTTCTAACTGAAGATATACATTTTTGCATTCTAATAAGCAAGATCCCTGGAGATGCTAGATTCACCTTCCAAAATATTTCTGTTAACTCTTAGGTTACCTTGGCTATACCAGTGGATTTTCCCTCACCTGCATGGTGTTTTTTGTTAGCGTGGTAAGTGATTTGTAATACATTCCTTGTAGTATGGTGAATGTGAGAAGCTATTAGTGATTGAATTAGTGTCTTCTTTGTGTGTGTGTGTGCATGCACACTTGTACCCACTAGTCCAGTGCTGGGCCTGACCTTTTTCACTCAAAGAAGGCATTCCACCACTTCATCCATACTTCTACTTCCAGCTTTTTTGTTGTTAATTAGAGATAATCATTTCCTGGACTCTTTTGCTCTGGCTGGCTTTGAACTGGAATCCTCAGATCTCAGCCTCCTGAGTAGCTAGGATTACAGCAGGAGCCACCTGCAGCTGGCTGAATGTCTTCATTTTTGTTCAAGCACTTCACAAGCATGAAATAATTCTTGTACCACAAGCAGTTTTGTTGAGTTCTAAATTGGAATGAGGAAAAAAGCAGTCCTGAGCTTAAAAATAGTTGAGTTAGAATGGCAAGGTCATTACAAATAGTATGTTCTAGGCACAAGGAATGAATATGTGGACAAAGGAAAAGGTCAGGAATCCCAGTTAGGAAGGCAGAGGAAGGAGGGAAGCCTATAACTGTCTCTACATAAGCTAACCATCACTCTTCCACATCTACCCCATAAGAGAGGACAACCACAATGAAATTAAAGAAGAAATTCAATCCCTAAGAAAAAGAGAACTCTTTGGTAATATAAAAATGGATACAAATTTATAAAATGTTTCTCCTGAAGAACCAATGAAAAGGGAGGGGCTGTGTGTGTGTGTGTGTGTGTGTGTGTGTGTGTGTGTGTGTCTGTCTGTCTGTCTGTCTGTCTGTCTGTCTGTCTGTCTGTCTGTGTCTCTCTGTCTTGGGGCTTGAGTTCAGGGCCTGGGCACTGTCCCTGAGCTCTACCACTTGAACCATAGCTCCACTTGTGACTTTTTGGTGCTTCATCGGAAATAAGAGTCTCACAGGCTTTCCTTTCCTGGCTGGCCTTGAACCACAATTCTCAAGTCTCAACCTAGGTCTGAGCCACTGTTGCCTGGCTAAGGAAAGGATTTCTTGATGAACCATGTTATCTTTAGTTTAAAGACATAGAAACGTTTGAAAGGTAGCAAGGAAATGTGTCGCAGCAGGGGTCAGGGTGGCCTTGTGTAAAGTACTACCCTGTTGAGTCCCTGTGGCAGCTCTGGCAGGGTTAGCCCCAACTTTTTTCCTTAGAGCTGAGATTCGAAGGAGTCTCTGTGGTCTAGAGTCCTCACTCCTCTGGGTTTTTATTTTGTGATTTTGACCTTTATTATTATTATTATTATTTTAATGATTGTGTCTAGGTGATTTACAAAAAATTTCAAATACCCTGCCCTCTGTCTGTTCTGGATCACCATGATGGAAATGTGACGTTCAACAATACCCTCCCAGTACACGTGATAATGTTCCCCAATAACTCTGAGAGCAGTGGCGTGAACTTCATGATGGATTACACGCACCGCAGCCCCTCTGGGCTGGACGAGAATGAGGCCAAGAACTCTCTCCTCGGCAGTGGTGTTGAGTATGAAGCCCACAGTGATGACAAATGTCAACCCAAATATTTCGTATTCAACTCCCGGGTAAGTAAGAGACCGAGTCTTTCATAAGCCCAGTTAATGTGGACTCCCAGTATTTATTTCATTGACTGAGATGGCATGGAAGTTGCCATCTGTGTTGGAATGCTAAACATGGGGTATTGTCTTTGTTTTGCAGACGGCCTATGCAATTCCTATCCTAGCGTTTGCTTTTGTATGCCACCCTGAGGTCCTTCCCATCTACAGTGAACTTAAAGAGTAAGACAGCCATCATTTTAGCATTCTAATTTGCTCCTTGCTGAGGACACATGCTACTTTGTAGCTTTCTCTTCAGAAAAAGTATGGGCTATAGTCATTTATCCGTGACATGTTTTAACCCACAAAGTATAAATTGGCCTATACCACAGTCTTGCCTTCTCTGCTTTCTCTCCTGTTCTTCTGCTAGAATGGTTTGAGGAGGGCTTGGGGCAGATGGGGAGGGAGGGAAAAGCTGGTGGTTATAATGATCTGGACAGGTTTGAGGAATTTAAATTGGAGTTTTAATGGGAAATGGCAGACAGAATGAAGACTACAATGTATGGTTAGGGTGGCCTTGGTAAAGCATGGCTATCACTTGTGGTCAATTCATAAGCCTTGTCTGGAAGATGTTCACCCTAACAAATGAGCCAATGTCCGGATGCATTGTCTCATCTGTACATGGCAGATGTGACAAGGAAATCTTGTTTCTTCCTGTTATGATTAAGGTGTTATACAGAAGGATTACCATTTCCTAAGGCAGGTAATGAGTACATTTCTTCTTTTTTTGGACCATGTCATCCCTTCCTTCACTTTCATTCAGCTTCCTCTTCCCTCCCCTTCACCTCTGACAGAAGACTGACATGTAATACTTCCCCACTTCCTTAACCCAAACTTCCGTAACCTCACTCTTCAATCTGTACTAGACAAGAATAATTCTCCCACAAAATTCTTATTTAACCTCATTTTTAAAAAAAAGAACTTTCAGAACCATTTCAATGTTGGTGTCTTTGATGTGCTTGGAGAATCATATGGAGCAGTTACTCCCTAACGTCTGACAATTGACTATAGGAAGACAGGTACCATCTGGAATAGTTTCCAGATGCTTCTTCTATAGAAGCAATCACTGTGTAAGTCCTCCTCAGAGTCTGAACACTGAAGAAGATATGCTTTGTGGATAGTGGGTTCTTTATGTTAGAAGCCTTTGACTTTATGTTAATTATAGCCTTATAGATAAACTCACTTACAGTCATGAAAGACTGTTCTTGTAGGGAAATGGTCGTTACACAAATCCTCCAGCATGCTCTAAGTCTATTTAAATCAGCTGTAAGTTTAGGTGCTAGGAATGTGGTTTCATAAGGAGCAACTCGGACATTACTTTTTCTTTTAATTTGATTACTTTCTTATTTTAATTTGTAAAAAAGGGATATTTTGGCAAGTGTAAGAAATGAAGCTCAGTGCTCCTTTCTCTTTCTTTTAGCCGATCCCGAAGGAAGATGCAAACGGTGTCCAATATTTCCATCACAGGGATGCTTGTCATGTACATGCTGGCTGCCCTGTTTGGTTACCTCACTTTCTATGGTAGGTCATTGTCAAGGTCATTCTGTCTGTGACAATCTCACTTGGACCAATGATGGATCTAGGAATGACAGTTACTTAGCTTTGTCACTGACTTAAGGAAATAAGTCTTAGACCACTTAGTTCACAGGTTACAAAACTTTGTAACAAGACTTTCACATGTATTTTATTTTGTTTATTCGCGATTGGTTGACAAGACTTCTCTCTGATATTTATTATTTTAACCTTAAGTAGTTATACAAAGGGGTTTATTTATTTTTTTTTTTTTTGGGTCCGGTCGTGGGGCCTGAACTCTGGGCCTGGGCACTGTCCCTCAGCTCTTCAGCTCAAGGCTAGCGCTCTACCACTTGAGCCACAGCGCCACTTCCGGCTTTTTTTTTCTTTTTGTTTATGTGGTGCTGAGGAATCGAACCCAGGGCCTCAGGCATGCAAGGCAAGCGCTCTACCACTGAGCCACCTTCCCAGCCCTACAAAGGGGCTTCAATTCAACCTGTCAGCTTATGATTAGAATGCGTGTGATCAGTGTCTCCCCTTGCTTCTCCCCATCTCTCCTAACCTCACCCCTCCCTCAAGTTGCCTGGTTCCATTTTCACATATGTACATGGAATATTATGACTGCATTTACTTGTTCTTCCTCTCTCTATCTCTAGTTGTCTGTCCCCCCCCCACCACATACTTTGTTACCTCCCCAACACATGTTCTAACTTCCTGGTATTCAATTTGCTCAACTTAAGTTAGTTGTTCAAAGAAAAGACACCATTGGAATCCTCCCTTGCATATATGCATATGACTTTGTATATATTTACATACATATTTATAATTTGTATCTAATTTCCACATATGAAGGAAAATATGTATCATTTGTGTCTTTCAGCCTGACTTCTCTTAACACTTTCCAGATTCATTCATTTCCCTGCATATTACGTAATATCATTCTTTCTGATTGATGACTAAAATTCTATTTATGTGTGTGTATATATGTATACACACACACACACACATATCATATGTATCTCACAAGCCAAAGTAGGGGGGGGGAAGTCACATAGTAAGGTTTAGCTTGCTTCTTATTTTACCAGATAAGTTAAATCTAGGGACTTGGAACAGTAAGTAAAAGTTCTGTTTATCTTATTCGCTTCTATTATAGTAAGTGGTTTCTTTTTTTTTGGGGGGGGGGTCCGGTTATGGGGCCTGAACCCTGGGCCTGGGTGCTGTCCCTCAGCTCTTCAGCTCAAGGCTAGCGCTCTACCACTTGAACCACAGTGCCACTTCTGGCTTTTTTCTTTTTGCTTATGTGGTGCTGAGGAATCGAACCCAGGGCCTTATGCATGCAAGGCAAGCACTCTACCACTGAGCCATCTTCCCAGCCCAGTAGGAAGTGGTTTCTTATGAAAGAGGAGATTATAATAAAATTTCCTTTCAATCTGGCAATGTTCTATTAAAAAAAAAAAGCCAGCAACAAAGACATTGACAAGAGCCTCATTAAAGTATGCATTCAATATTTCTTCTCTGTAAACTTTATAGTACCAAAAGGGAGTAGTATTCTTTTTTAAAAAATTAGTTTTATAAATATTGTATTCCTTCCATGAAGTGTAGCCCAGTAAGACAAATTTCACTGAATCAAATAGAGACCTCATAGCATTTGTTTACATGAATTAATTATTAGCATAAATATATTCTCGTATAAAACTTTAACATTTTAGGGGGGATTTTCTTTATCTGAATAGATTTGTTAAATAGATCAATAGGTTGCATGACAGGTTGGGGAGGATTTGAGTCCTTCCTTCCTCCCTCCTTCCCCCTCCCCCTCTCTCCCTCTTTCTTCTTTCTTTCTCTTTCTTGTGTGTACCAGTCTTAGGGCTTGAATTCAGGGCCTGGGCTCTGACCCTTTCATGAAGGATAGTGCTCTACTACTTGAGCCACAGCTCCACTTTTGGCTTTTTGGGTTTTTGGTGGTTAATTGGAGGAAAGAGTCTCCCAGACTTTCCTGCCTGGGCTGGCTTCAAACCATAATCCTCAGATCTCAGCCTCCTGTGGAGCTAGAATCACAGGCATAAACCACTAGCACCTAGCCCTTAAGTTTGTTTCTAAGATATAACTATTAACCAAACATTTGCTCTAGAATAAGCATTAACTTCTTGTTGGTTGTGAATTCATTAATTCACAGTCAATACAACTGAATGTAATTTTATCCCTTCTTGTCTGATCTTGAGAACAATAGTGGGGAAATTCAAGCTACATGACTATATTAATCCCTCCTGCTCATTGTGTGTGGAAATATGAATGAATATGATTTCAAGGATGAATCATCTTCCTCTTAGAATATTCACTTGGAGACCCAGGCATGTTTGTCTAATGAGTTTCATAAGACAAATGAAAATTTGAGAGAGAAGCAACACCCAAGTATGTGTCTCAGTATCAAGACGAAATCATAATTGTTGAGCTCAAAAAAAAAAAAAAGTGGCTAACACCTGTAATCCCAGACTGAGATCTGAAGATCGCGGTTCAAAGCCAGCCGGGGCAGGAAAGTCTGTGAGACTCTTATCTCCGATTAACCACCAGAAAACCAGAAATAGTGCCGTGGCTCAAGTGGTAGAGCACTAACCTTGAGCTGAAGAGCTAGGGACAGTGCCCAGGCCCAGAGTTCAAGCCCCATGACAGACAATCCCTCACACCAATAATAATCATAACTTCTCAGGAGCTGAGATCTGAGGATCAGAGTTCAAAGTCAGCCTGAGTGGAAAGTCCATGACATTCTCCAATTAACCAGCAAAAGCCAGAAGTGGGGGTGTGTGTGGCTCAAGTAGTAGAGCTCCAGCCTTGAACAAAAATAGCAAGTGAGAACATGATGCCCTGAGTTCAAGATACCCCCACCCACCCCTCAAAAATATTAGGAATAATTAGTTCTCCTGTACATAATGTGTTTAAAGAAGCTATGTCTGGGACAACTGAGCCAAGGGGCACAGAGGGAGGTGGGAGTTGGCAGGGACAGGCTGATAGAGTTTGGACCATTCATCCCCTTCTCCCTTGGTTTGTGATGTTTCTTTATAGGAGGGAGAGATCTCCAATGATGCCATCGAGCCCAAGCAGTCCTTGAGCAATCCTTGAGCAATTATTTCCTATCCGCTTCCTGAGTCTTTCTCAACTTTAGGATTCCTTTCTGCATTTGAACCAAAGTCCCCTCGCTCAGAGGCCCGAGGAAAAGCGAGGTGTCTGGATTCCCGGCCCTGGGTTTCTTCCAGGCCTGTGTGCCCTCCTGACGGATTCTCGCCTTTCTTCCTCATGTAGGAGAAGTTGAAGATGAGTTACTGCATGCATACAGCAAAGTCTACACCTTTGACACGCCTCTTCTCATGGTCCGCCTGGCGGTGCTGGTGGCAGTGACGCTCACGGTGCCCATTGTCCTGTTCCCAGTAAGTACAGAGAGTGCTGGGAGGGAAGCACATTGGGTCCATCAGGTAGCCCTCTGTGCTGACCTCATGTGGATTTAATTGCTGTGTGTGAGTCTGCGGTTGCAGCACCAAGGGCATGATCGTTTTCGCATACCATTTTGGAGTCTCTTAAAACTGACCACTTCATAGGTCCATGTAGCCATCGTTGTTAGGTAGGTTTTTATTTTATGTTTTACTTGAGGGAGGACATCGTGACATTTGTTCTCAAATTCAAAGTCCAAAAGCTGATGTTAGTTGGGTGTTGGTGACTCACGCCTGTAATCCTAGCCACTCAGGAGGCTGAGCAAAAAGCTCAGGGACAGCACCCAGGCCCTGAGTTCAAGTCCTAGGGCTGTAGGGGAAGGGGGGAAAGCTGGAAAAAGAATGAGGGTTTGGGAAGTCTGGCATGGGGGGGAGGGGGGGAAAGGGAGGGTGGAGGGGGCCAGATTTCAGGGGAGTGATGAGGCTGAGTGATCTGCATCTGGATGTGTCGAAACAAAATCTGATCAAATGCATGGTACAAAAAGCCTATATGTTCAAGGGAAACCCCTTTGAACAAGTATTTGAAGATAATGAAAATTAAACTGCCAATTAATGCAAATAAAAAGTGAAAACAAGAGAGTTACTTCTAGCCAGATGCTTGGCCACGCCTGTAGTCCTAGCTACTCAGGAGGCTGAGATCTGAAGATCATGATTCAAAGTCAGCCCAGGCAGGAAACTCCCTGAGACTCTTTTTTTTTTTTTGAGGGGGGGGGGGGTCCGGTCGTGGGGCCTGAACTCTGGGCCTGGGCACTGTCCCTCAGCTCTTCAGTTCAAGGCTAGCGATCTACCACTTGAGCCACAGCGCCACTTTTGGCTTTTTTCTTTTTGCTTCTGTGGTGCTGAGGAATCGAACCCAGGGCCTCAGGCATGCAAGGCAAGCGCTCCACCACGGAGTCACCTTCCCAGCCCTCCTTGAGACTCTTATCTCTAACAAACTCCTCAAAAAAGTTGGAAGTGGAGCTCAAGTGGTAGAGCACTTGCCTTGAGCAAAAGAAGCTCAGGGATAGCTTCTAAGTCCAGAGTTCAAGCCCCAGGACCAGCAAAAAAAAAAAAAGCTGGAAGGAGATTCCTGTCAAGTAAATCACTAGAACAAAGATTCTTAAAAAAATTATTGTACTAGCTGGGTGCTGGTGGCTCATGTCTGTAACCCTAGCTACTCAGAAGGCTGAGATCTAAGGATTAGGGTTCAAAGTCAACCTGGGCAAGAAAGTCTGTGAGAGTATTATCTCCAATTGATCACCAAAAATGCCAGAAGCTGAGTTGTGGTTCAAGTGGTAGAGTGTGCTCACAGTAAGCACAAAATGTTCAAGGACAGAGCTCAGGCTCTGAGTTCAAACCCCAGAACCAGCACCAAAGAAAAACAAAAAACCACAAAATGCTGTATTTATCCATTATATGTCTCTTCACCACTAAAACTGATGGCTGCCCCTAGCAGACTGAGACTTGGATCCTTCCTTAGAGTTTTCCATGCACCAGTTGGTCCTGGGCTCACAGACCAAGACTGGCTCTGAGGATCTAGGCAGCCAGAATTAAAAACCACAACCTATGGATAAACACACGCAAGTCTTTACCTTCCTGCCAACTCCGCTCCTTTCATGAAGACTGAATTTACTCATTCATTTTAGGGGCACAAAAAATAATAATAAATAAACCAGTGACATAGAAATCAACACTGCTGTGTACAGACTGTCTCGCAAAGGACCAAGCATTCCAGGACCATTTATGTAATGACACTGTGGTCGCTTTAAATGCTGCCTGTGTGCTGAAATGTATTTTGGCGCATTCTTTGGCCATGAGTGCATGCGATCAGATGCTTATTACCACTACAGGGGCTAATAATGTCTTTAAATAATGCCCTGCCTTGAAGGTGTCCGAAAGGATTTCATGGGCCTGGTCCTCAAATCCTGCTTGGATACCAAGCAGAAGACAACTGTCAGTCAGGTGGACTATAGGATCAAGTTTCCAAGCAAGTAGTTTTACTGGGAAAACAGTATCTGAAGGCCTTTTTGGTTTGTTTGTTTGTCAAGATATCACCACATTTTCACACACCAAGGGTGATCCCCTCAATGTTCAACTAATGCATTTTATACAAGAAATCTGTTAAGTGCTTTTGTATCACTTTATTCATAAGCTGTAAATAGAGTGTTTTCAAGCACTGGTCTCAAGGGACGGATGGATGTAGCCAGGTCACAAAGCCAGAAGGCAACAGTTGAATGGGTGGCACGCACAGAGCTCCTCCCTGTGTAACAGGACCCATGGCTGCCATCTTTGCAGTAGGAAATTGAAAGCCAGCCTTTGGTTCACTGATGAACATTTCATCTCAATACAAGTCTCCTTGGGAATTGGGACAGAAAGTGCTAGAATACATCTGATCATCAGGAACAATAGTGTGTATACATGAGATGCTATTTCAAAACAACATTGGCTATGGAAATCAAAATGCAGAACAATAACTAACAGCTATCCATACCATGTATTTTCACTGAACCTTCTCATGAACTACTCTGTAGGTAATACTGTCTTCATTCTTTGGCAGGGGTCCCTCAATAGTTTTCTAGTCCCCAGCATAGAGGACAAGCTCAGCAATGTTGGCTTTGGAAATAGTCTTTAAGTGAATCTTGCCTTCCCCCGAAGGCTATTCCTGGCTGTCATGTACCAAGGGTTACCTCACCTTGCATGAATCAAATGTCTGTGAAAGAGACAGAGGCAGCCTCTGGTTTAGTCTCCTTTCTCTCTATCAAGTCTTACCAGGCTCAATCCCAACCCTTTGGTGAGAGTGATACAAATTGTCAGTGCTGTTTGGTTTGGTTCTTAGAACTGAGAGCAGTTTCTTTGGTGTCTCCTTGTTCATTCAGCTTCTCTGAACTAATGAACACTGGACACTGGGGCATTTATTCACTTGTGTTGATATCACCACAAACAAATGATCAAAGAAAGAAACAGGCTGGGAAAATCTATCAACTTTAATTATTATTCTGTAGTTCTTTTCTTTTTCTTTTTGGTGCCAGTCTTGGGACTTGAACTCAAGTCCTAGGCACTGTCCCTTAGCTTTTTCACTTAAGGCTGGTGCTCTACCACTTGAGCCACAGCTCCATTTCCAGCTTTTTGGTGACTAACTGGAAATTAAAAGTCTCATGGATTTTCTTGCCCACAATCCTGCAATGTAAAAGAAGAAGCCATTTTTTCCTCCTCCTCCTCCTTTTCCTCCTCCTCCTCCTCCTCCTCCTCCTCCTCCTCCTCCTCCTTCTTCTTCTTCTTCTTCTTGGTAATGGGGTCTGGGCCTGGGCATTGTCCCTCAGCTCTTCAGCTCAAGGCTAGTGCTCTACCACTTGAGCCATAGTTCCACTCCCAGATTTTTCTGCTTATGTGGTGCTGAGAAATTGACCCCAGGGCCTCATGCATACACTCTACCACTGAGCCACATTCCCAGCCCAAGAAGGAGCCATTTCTATACAATGGAGGATTTTCTAGATTTCTTTATTCAGAGAACAGAGTTAAGCCTCTCACTTTCTAGTCAGCTTCTGTGTCTCTAATCAGCACATCCACCCATAACATTTTTAAACAGGCTGTCTCCAGAGGGATATCATCTCTGAAAACAAATGATATTTTCTCTAGAGCTGCACTGGAACTTTCTAGAATCATTCTGGGTGAGGAACTTTGGCTATTGCTAGAGATGAGACCCACCCACAGCCTCTGGCCCACATTTCCAGACTCTTATCAGTTTGTGTCAGTAGAGAAAAGGGCTATAGATAAGTGAATAATGAGGTAGAGCTGCCTTTGCCCTGATGTGGGTCAGTACAACTAATGGAGAGGGGATTGGGGGGGGGGGGGGGCTTTAGATCCCTGCTCATGCCTTCAGGCAACATTTGTGTGTGTGTGTGTGTGTGTGTGTGTGTGTAGGGGTGTGGGGTAACTGGGACTTATATTCAGGGCCTGGGCACTATCCCTTAGCTTTGTCACTCAAAGCTAGCACTCTACCCACTTGAGCCACAGTTCCACTTATAGCTTTTGGCTGGTTAATTGGAGACAAGATCCTCAGATCTCAGCCTCCCAAATAGCTAGGATTATAGATGCAAGCCACTGATGCCTGGCAAAGGCACCATTTTAAATAAAGGACTATAAAGCATGCAAATATAATGTCTTGCTTTATTCTATACATGTATGACTGCCAGGCAAGTCCAGAAGCACTCTGTTATGTATCCTAAGAACTTACGTTAATTCTATTACTTAGATCACTTTGGACATTGAGTAAGCACTAATCATAGGTCACAGTATACAATTTATAGATAGTTGGGGAAAACAGTTCAATCACATGCTTTGTGGTAGTGGTGATGGTGCTTTTTCACATAAGTTTCGTAATTTCCACTAATCCAATTTTTTAAAATCTGTTACAAAGAGTTAGGTGTCTGAGGCTCATGCTTGTCATCTGGAGCCTCTCAGGAGGCTGAGATCCAAGGATTGCCATTCAAAGCCAGACCAGGCAGGAAAGTCTATGAAACACTTACCTGCAAATAACCACCAAATGGAAGTTGAGTCAGAAGTGGCTCAAGTGGTAGAGGGCCAGCTTGGAGAAGAAAAAGCTCAGGGACAGTGCTCAGGCCCTGGGTTCAAGACTCAGGACTGGAATGCATGTACACACACACACACACACACACACACACACACACACACACACACACATACATAATGAAAAATCCATTGCAAAGTCATTCTTAAATCATTTGCAGGGCTCTCTGGCTTGCCGTTGTCATAATGAAATTCCTTCTTCAACCTAAACAATGGCTTTAATTTTTGGTGCTGTGGTAGGAAAGGAATGTGGCCAGAGGCTTGGCAAGCAACTACACTTGCATTTTTACTGCTGTTCATACATGTTTCCAAATGTACTTAACATTTTTTTTCTCTTCTTTAAATCCATCTCCATTTCCATACCAACAAAAGACTTTAGAACACAAGTTTTAAAAAGAAAAACACAATCCCAGCCTTTCTAAAAAAAGTGAAGTCCTGGCTTAAATGAAGTGCTCCCTTAGTGAAAAGCCAGGAGTTATTTCTAAGTAAAGCCAAAAAGGAAAGTGCTCTCTCACAGATTCCAAAGATTGGCATGTGTTCAACCCCTACGTCTGCCCGCGGGGATCTCTACCCTGTCAGGCCTCTGTAATTTGAACACCCATGAAAAAGGAGCCTCTTTTGACCCTTTGCCTACTTTTTTCTGTGGCCGAAATAGGCGTCTTTTTCTAGGAGCTTGATGGGAAGAAAAATAGTTCTTCCTTTCATTCAGCATTAACTCAGTGCAAAACACTAAGCTAGAAACTTTGAGGAATGTTGAGATGATTAAATCCTATCTTTTTTTATAGATGTATAATCTGTTGGTAGGGGTAAGAGAGTAAAAAGAAGAAAAGAGGGCTGGGAAGGTGGCTCAGTGGTAGAGTACTTGCCTTGCATGCATGAGGCCCTGGGTTCAATTCCTCAGCACCACATAAGCAAAAAGAAAAAAGCCGAAAGTGGCGCTGTGGCTCAAGTGGTAGAGCGTTAGCCTTGAGCTGAAGAGCTGAGGGACAGCGCCCAGGCCCAGAGTTCAGGCCCCACGACCGGACCCCCCACTCAAAAAAAAAAAAGAAAAAGAAAAGAAAGAAAGAAACCAAGATTGTAGAATTTCTTTTCACAATCTCACGTAAATTAGCTCAGATTTGTCTTGGATTAGTGGTAAAGCTTCTGCCTAGGAAGCACAAGGCTCTGAGTTCAAACCCTAGTAGTGATTAAAAAAAAAAAGAAAGGGAGAAAAACGTGTTTAACACCAGTGAACTGCATTTAAAAAACAGGTACGTCAATTGCTGGGCACTGGTGGCTCACACCTTGCTACTCAGGAGACTGAGATCTAAGGATCATAGGTCCAAGTCACCCCAGGGAAGAAAGTCTGTGAGTCTCATAATTTCCAATTAAATAGCAAAAAGCCAGAAGTAGATAGAGTAGCTCAAGTAATAGAGTGCCAGTCTTGAGAGACAAAGCTCAGAACCAGCAACAGGCCCTGAGTTCAAGCCTCTATGTCCTCCCCTCCCTGCCAAGAAAAAGAAAAAACACTAGATGAGACAGTAAATGTTCTGTTTTGTATGGGAAAGAACCAAAATGCTTTAGAACAATGTGAATACTTGCCATGATCTTCCTGTTAAACATCTTGTTACAGATTCGTACATCCGTGACCACTCTGTTATTTCCCAAAAGACCTTTCAGCTGGATAAGACATTTCCTGATTGCAGTCATAATTATCGCACTTAATAATGTCCTGGTCATCCTTGTGCCAACGATAAAATACATTTTTGGATTCATAGGTAAGTTTCGGACTCTGGTGACTTCCTCCTTTCTTCCAAGTGACATGGGGAGCTTACTCTCTGATTTCATCCAGTTGCCTTTTCTGACAGATAGGAAACTAGACCTCACAGGACTCAAGTCCTATACCTTGGGGTGGACCCAAGATTTGGACATGGGTCACAACTCCGCCATCAAGGACAGGGAAAGACAGTCACACAATGGAAGCCCTCTGACGTCTAGGAGAATCAGCTGAGGGTTAAATGACATCCTTAGAGAACTAGGAATTTGATTTTTTTTTAAAGCATATTATTTCTGTTAACTCTATGATCTATTAATATATTTAACTTTTCATTCTACAAGTAGAAATTTTACTCAAATTTTGCATGGGGGGGGTGGTTTGCTGGAAATTGAATCCAGGACTGTGTATAAGTATGAGATTAGACTACTTAAATAAAATATGAATGTGGGAACAGGAGGGAAAAACTAGGAGAGTATGGGAAGGGGTGACATTGTCCAAAAGGAAATATACTTATTACCTGACTTACGTAATAGTAACCCCCCTGTGCATCACCTTTATAACACAATAAAAAATAAAATTAAAATGTTATGGTTGGATCATGATTGGAACTCAGAGCCTTATGCTTGCTAGGCAGGTACTCTACCACTTGAGCCACACCTCCAGCCCTCGCTTTCTCTGGTTATTTTTGGAGATGGACTCTGTATTACAGACTTTTTCTACTGAACTGGCCTTGAACTATAATCTTCCAAATCCCAATTTCCTGATCAGTTAGGATTCCAGGTGTGAGCCACCAGTAACTGACTCTGGCTTGTTTTCTGAGATGGAATCTCAGAAACTTTTTGCCTGGCCTGGCCTCAAACTTTGATCCTCTTAAGTCATTAAGCTTACAGACTGGAACCACTGGGCTGAGCAGATAGAGGCGACTGGAAATGAAAGAGGTGAATAAGGAGCATGTTTAAAGAATTTATGGGGTGGGGGGGAAGGCAAGGAGAATGTATAGCCTTCTTAATATATCCTTGTAGTACTAATCTTTTGTAAATTTGTATTTAGTCCTACATTTACAATATATGCCTTTGCAACTATGAGGTCAGGTATATTTTCACTTGCTTTATAAACATGGCTCTTAGGAATAGGCAATAAATATGAGCATATGTGGTTAGGTGTGCGTTTTGGGTGCTAAAAAGAACCAGAGTTCTATTTGGTTTCTCTAACATATATGGTCTCAGGTATATGCTTTGCAGAAAAGACTACCTCGTACATCATTGACCTACCCTGTGTCTCTCTCCTCAGGGGCTTCTTCGGCCACGATGCTGATTTTTATTCTTCCAGCAGTTTTTTATCTCAAACTTGTCAAGAAAGAACCTCTTCGATCACCCCAAAAGGTTGGGGTAAGTAACATTTGCAATCACACCCCCCCCCATTCCCAGTTGCTCTCGACTTGGAATACCTCAGAAAATAGTCAAAGCTCACAAAAAGAAAAGAAAAGGAACCCAAGATGAGCTGAAACCTCATGGTGGAAAAAAAGATGGTTTTCTAGCTAGATGTGGCAGAGGCTACGTTTCTTCCATGCCTCTTGCATGGGCTTGCAGGATTTCTGTATTGCTTGCCAGGTTTTGATGCCAGGTTGGAGCTGCACTGTCCCTATAACATGTAAATATACATATTTATATATATATTTACATCCCCACCAGTGTTAGAGAATCATGCACACATGTGTGATCTGTGAGATTTGCCAGAGCTAATCCTTATTTACGTTTCTCTTTTATCATTCTCTTACTTTTCCCCTGGTTTGAACTGAGGTGGGAAACATACCGTTTGTTGCCAATTAATCTTTTTAGGTATAAAGTATCACTTTATTAAATTCAGGCGTGTACAAGCCTTTTCCACAATGGTCCTACAGAAAAATATACTAGAAATGATTGCTTCTCTAGTAGTCAGATAGTATCAGTGACTACTTAAGAAGGCCTTGCATGAGGGTTTTGCAAGCTCCTTACTGATTTACTACACATTCATGACTGGAGGTCACTCCCCTCTCAAGATTGTTTGGTGTTATAAGCTCCTTGCACTATTTTGCCACTGGATTTTGACTCTTTGAACCTTGTTATGTCTAGCTTGTTGCAGCAATGTGGCCTGGGCACCTTGCTTATTTTATTTATGACTCACATGCAGAATGACCAGATGTAAAATGAGCAAAATTAGCCTGGCGCCTGTGGCTCACATCTGTAATAACTTCTCTGGAGGCTGCAATCTGAGGATCGTGGTTTGAAGTCAGCCCGGGCAGAAAAGTCTGTGAGGCTCTTATCTCCAATAAATAACTCAGAAAGAGCTAGAACTGGCATCATGGCTCAAGTGGTAGCATGCTAGCCTTGAACACAAAGAAGCTCAGGGACAGTGCCCTGGCCCAAGACTGGTAAATAAAAAAATATTTATCTACCAAGTACTGGTGATACCTGTAATCCTAGTTACTTAGAAGGCTTAGATCTGAGAGTCATGGTTCCAAGCAGCCTGGGCAGGAAAGTTCATGAGATTCTCATCTCCAATTAACCACCAAAAAGCCAAAGAGGATCTATGGCTCAAGTGGTAGAGTCCTAGCTTCAAGTACAAAAGTTTAGGGAGTGTGCCCAGACCTTGAGTTCAAGCCCCAAGACTGGCACGCATGCGTGCGGGCACACACACACACACACACATACATACACACACACACACACACACACACACACACACACACACACACACAGAATATTATTCAAGCCAGCTATGGCTTGACTATAATCTTAGCCTACTTGGGACATGAAAAATGAGAGAACCATGGCTTACAGTTCAATCCAGTCCCTGCAATAAACAAACAAACAAACAAACACAAAAACAAAACCTACTGAGAACTTAACATAGGTGTATGGAGGTGTCAGTGCATGCCTGGGCAGGAAGTAAGATCCTACCTTCAAACTTAGCAGCCAAAAAACCAGGACTGGAGGCATGGCACAGCAGTAGAGCCCTTTCTCAGCAAACAACATGCAAATCAGATTGCCCTCCCACACCAAATTGGTCAGGAATGGTGCGTTTTCCCTCACAAGTTCTCTGTGCATTACAGGCATTGATCTTCCTTGTGACTGGAATTATCTTCATGATGGGAAGCATGGCCCTCATTATAATTGACTGGATCTACAACCCTCCAAATTCCAAACACCACTAATCCAAGGAAAAAAAATATGTGTCCCTTTTTTTTTCTGTTGGAAATGTTGGCGAGTTATACTCCCCAAAAGACATTTTGACCTACCGTGATTGGGCCGATATTTCATAGGAACTAGCCAGAAGATTCCAGAGATGTTTGCTTAGGAGTGTCACCAGACACCTGCAAAAGTTAAAATTAAGGTGGTTTTTGTTGTTGTTGTTGTTTTTGTTATTGTTGTTTTGGGGTTTCATTGTTTGTTTTTCCCCGCTTTGGTCAACAATGACTGAAGCTATGTTTCAAGCCTGCAGTGCACATTTCTCCCCAGGTTGGACTTGAGCACAGGGAGGTGATCAGGGTGTACTTTTGTCGATGCACAAGCAGAATAAAGGCAACTTCGTGTGATGGTCAGCAGATACCAGCCTTTCCCCTACCCATTCCCCACCCTTCACCCCTGCAGAGTAGTACAAAGTTGCCCTCTCAGAACATCAAACCTAAATGCCCTGGTAGCAAAGCTATCACCACTTAATCATGCCTTACCCTATCATGCAGCAAATACTCTGGGTCTGAGAACTAACAGGGTCAAAAGGTGCCAGGCCCACCTAGTGAATGGTTGCTGTGAGGTCACATCTGGAATCCCATACCAGTCTAGCGTGCTTCATACCAGCCCTAATGAGCAGTTTGCCCATCCTGCTTCTGAGAGTGAATGAATGAATGACCTCATCGATGGATATTAGGATGGGAGAGGCTCTATTTCAATTAGAGAGAAACAACTAATAAGAATGTTTATAGCTGACCTGCCCACTGAGAAAGCCTCTGTGTGTGTGTGTGTGTGTGTGCATGTGTGTGTGTGTGTATGTGTGTGTGCATCTCTTTTAATGGCCTTTGTCCTGCTTTTGTCCTGAACAAGGTTCTGCCTCTCTAGTCTTCCATTTTCATTCAGAATCTTCAGAAGATCACAGTGCATGGTGGAGACACATTACCCAGTATTGTTGGATAAATTTTTATTTGATAAAGAAAACCTTCAGTGCAGGAAACTGTGATTTGCTATATATGTATGTATATAATCTTGTTCTGTAGTCAGAATGTTAATGTGTCATACATTGGATTTTTCTTTTTTATGGGTGTAGTTTTCTTCACAGTGGGACAGGGAAGTCAACTGGAGGGCTCCAAACCATTTGCATTGTATTTGTTTATTGGGGACATTTTAAATTTGAAATCCAAGTTATATATAGAGTTCGGTAATGCTCTTCTTCATTGTTTACACTTATCATATAAAAAGAAAGAAAGAAGGAAAGAAGAAAAAGAAAGAAAGAAAGGAAGAAAGAAAGAGAAAGAAAGGAGAAAGGAGGAAGGAAGGAAGGAAGGAAGGAAGGAAGGAAGGAAGGAAGGAAGGAAGGAAGGAAGGAAGGTTGGTTCTTTGTGAATCATTGTCATTGCCAATGTTGTTCTTTTAATTTAGCATGACTGAACTAGGATTTCATCCATTTTAGATTGTATATTTATCTCCTGATATTTCATTTGTCCTTTAACGCAACATTGAGTGATTCTCCATAGAAAGAAAAGTGTTAACACTGAAAGCAAATGCAAACTACCATTGTTTTTACTCACTTCCAAATCTTATCTGGAGTTAACAGTTACTACTCAGCCATGTGTAGGTGGCTCATGCTTGTAATTGTAGCTATTCAAAAGGCTGAGCCATGAAGTTTGATGTTCAAAACCAGTCTCAGCAGGCAAATCTTAGAAACTCTTATCTCCATTTAACATGTGAAAAGCCAGAAGGTGAGGTGTGGCTCAAATAGTACAGCACCAGCCTTGAGTGAAAAAATCAAGAGAGCACAAGATCCTGAGTTCAAGCTCCAATACCAGCATGTGTGCACACATACACACACACACACACACACACACACACACACATCTCTATTCAGTACCTAGAATTTCAAAAGCTCACTAGAATGTTTTTGAAATCAATACCAAGAAGATTTGTATATTTTACACTTTGTAAAGCCAAATATGAAATATAAGTATCATATGAATATAATCATACTAAATCCTACTTCAGATTCATTTTGGAATATATGTTTATGAAAGTATATTTGTGTTATGCATTAGTTTCTAAAATCTGTAAAAAAGGTATACTCTTATTATGGAAATTGAGCATTATTAGAAACTATCCTAACTTTTAAATTACTATTATGTGAGGGTGGGGGTGGAATCGCCAAACAGCAAAGAACAGAAAATGGAAAACAGTATCTTTTGAATGTTAAAAAAAAAAGGTTGAATCTGAACATATTTAGATGTAAATATCAAAGATCCAAGAATCTTGGAAAACTGTAAAATCTGTACATATTTTGAATGCTTTACAATTAAATGTAACTTGAAAGCATCCACATATTTAATTATATAAATATTCAAGAGCAATAATACAGCGCCAAGTAATAAAACATCTTTTTTAATTGTCTTTTTTTGGGGGTGGGGGGTCCTGGCTGTTTTCAGGACTGGAGTTCATACACACTGCAGGACAGACATATATTGGGTATCTTGTGCTGATTAATTTAACCCCACTTGTAAACAGATAAAAGTTTTTATTTTCATATTTCATTTATAAGATGGTTTTGGTGTATTAGGAGGCTTTTTTTATTACAGAAAGTGTTTATTGGTATATAATAAATGAACTTTGCAAATGAACATGATGTGTTTTTCCTTCCTTCAGCAAAGAAGTTTATGCGTTACTTGTATTTTTTTTTGTTTTTTCTTTTTGTTTTTTTGTCGGTCGTGGGGCTTGAACTCTGGGCCTGGGCGCTGTCCCTCAGCTCTTCAGCTCAAGGCGAGTGCTCTACCACTTGAGCTACAGCGCCACTTCCGGTTTTCTGGTGGTTTATTGGAGATAGGAGTCTCACGGTCTTTCCTGCCCGGGCTGGCTTTGAACCGCAATCCTCAGATCTCAGCCTCCTGAGTAGCTAGGATTACAGGCGTGAGCCACCAGTGCCCGGCTATGGGTTACTTGTATATGGAACAAAATTTAAAACCTAAATCTCATAAATACGTGTGTCCTTTTCATTGTATACATGCACAAAAGAATGATTTATGTACACACAAACACTGTAGTGGCCTCTATAACCCACATTATCTCCTTATTGCTGCACACACGTAATGGTGTGAAAGAATATAAACAAATTAAAGCCAGGTGTGATGGTACATACCTGTACAGGAGAGGGAGAAGCAAGCAGGTTATGTGATCAAGGGTAGCCTGATCTTCCTAGTGAGACTCCATCTGCCCCCTCCATCCCCCCAAAAAGAAAAGTAAAATAAAAAGATATAAGTAATTTTTTATCCTACCATTCTGGAGGTCTGCAGGAGTTCTAAAATCAAGATAGTATGGCTGATTCCCTTCTGGAAATTTTAAGGAAGAATCAGTCTCTTTGCTTTTTCCAGCTCTAGAGGCGACCTAACATGGAGTTATGATATAAGCACAATTGTCTCCAGATGTACATCAAGACATGTAGTGTGAAAGAAAGTCCCAGTAATGATGGAAGGTATAATAGTCACATCTGCACTACCTAGATTTTCCAGAATATCCAAAGGGGCATTCTGTGGAAAAATATAAGCAACTATGATTCATAAGTAATCATTGAGAATCGATTCATAACAGTTGGGCTTTATAGATGAAAAAGTTTCGCACGTAACAAATTTATTTTTATTTATTTAATTCTTTGGGGTGTCAATCCAGGGGGTTGAACTCAGGGCCCGGGCACTGTCTCTGAACTTCTTTTGCTCAAGGCTAAAGCTCTACCACTTGAGCCACAGCCCTGCTCTCAGCTCAATTTTTTGGTGGTTTTAGTGTAGGTAAGAATCTCACAGACTTTTCTGCCTCGGTTGGCTTTGAACTGTGATTACATGTGTGAGCCACCAGGGCCTGGTGATAGATTATTTCTTATAATGTAAACTGCAGTGTGTATTATAACTGTTTAGTGAAGTTACAGAAACAAAAAAAATTATCTTAGAAAATTCTGACACAGTAATTTCAAGGAGACTAAAAAAGAGGAGAAGTAGTAGCTGCAGGTGAGAGGTGAAGGAGTAGGCCTAGGGGACGGGGGGTGAGAGAGGTGGAAACATGTAAGATCTCTTCTCCAAACATGGCTCCTCACTCCAAGCTCCTATGAAGGACAGGGTTAACAGGAGAAAAGCATAACAGATTGAAGTAAGGCTTTAGTGCAACAAAAGTACTTTAAGAAAGGAAGACACAGGGTGGGTACGGGTGGCTCATACCTGTAATCTTAGCTATTTAGGAGGCTGAGAGCTGAGGATCATGGTTTGAACCCAGCCCAGGCAGGAAAGTCTGTGAGACTATCATCTCCAATTAACCACCAGAAAACAGAAGTGGCACTGTGGTTCAAAGTGGTAGAGCACTAGCCTTGAACAGAAAAGCTCAGGGACAGCGCCCAGGTCCTGTGTTCAAGCCCTATGACAGACAAAAAAAAAAAAAAAAGGAAGACCTAGGGAAATTTATTGACTGGCACAAAGGACATAACCAGTGGTAACAGATAGAGAGCAGAAATACCCAGCAAGTTCTGTCTGTTCCAATCCTTCTGGTCTCTGTGCTGTGTTCCTTTCTTCCCAGGTTCCAGGCAGGGCTTCTTTCAGAATGAAGGTTCCATGATGTACTACCAAACAAGATAGAGTAGAGAATTTCTCTTTGGCCAGGTTTTACAAAGGAAGGTGGTAGGGCTGATTCCAGGAAGATTCCCTGACTTGTCTTGGGGAAGCAAGAACAGTAAAAAGTCAAATGCTAGTGGGTCATGCCTATAATCCTCACTTCTTAGGAGGCTGAGATCTGAGAATCTCTGTTCAAAGCCATTCTAGGCAGAAAAATCCATGAGATTCTTATCTCCAATTTATCACCAAAAAGCTGGAAGTGAAGCTGTAACTCAGGTATCAGAGCACCAGCCTGGAACACAGAGCAAAGGACAGTGCCCAGGCCCTGACTTTAAGCCTTAGTACCAGCATGCATACAGAGAGAGACAGAGACAGAGACAGACAGACAGACAGACAGACAGAGAGATTGGAAGTGAAATTTAAGGTTGTGAGACATTAGCACAGCGTTTTGAGAACCTAGAGATGAGAAACAAAAAGCAGCCCTTCTTTAACATGGGATGGATTCATAACCTTTCTTGCTCTTTCAAAATATTCTTGCTTCTAGACTTTTATTTTCAGAG